GGCATACAAAACTGACTTTATGCTGCATAGTGTACTATTATAAAATGTTAAGTAGATACAGTAGGAATGTATTTATTGTTGCTTTCACTTTTGAAATATCATTTAAGACCCCTCCCCAATTAAGCATAGAGCATAATTTGCTTTTTTAAGAGCATTTAGAAAAAGCAAGAAAAATAAATGCCTCCTACGTTTTTATCTCCTTCCTTTAACCAGGGGTAGGGAACCCCTGGCACAAGTGCCAGAGCATGGTACACACAAGTGTTTTGCTTGGCATGTATGCATCAGGGCTGACGATGGGGAAGGGGCAGGGCTGTGCTGCCATAACAAGGACCAGACCTTTCTTGGCTTCCCCACTGTGTGCCCCAGGCATGACAACATCTTACAGGTGGAAGTTGTTGTGAGTGTTTTGGGCACTCTGCCCAAAAATGTTGCCAACCCCTGCTTTAAACTTTGATGTCTTCCCTTTATTACTATATTACCAAGTAGTAAGGTAAAGGCATAAAAAATGTTGTTGGACAGTTTCTGATTAAGAACAGCCATTTTGATGATATTAAAGGGTACTAAATGATGCCTTAATTTCAAAACTATTATTGGGGTATTCTTAAACTTACAGTTTACTTGTCAGGTAAATTTTAGAAGCACTTCTGGTAGAGAAAAGGTACTACAGAAATCTGCATGCAAATGTTTTAAAGACAATTTGTCTTAAAGTCACGCCTGTCTTAATGCCTTTAGCCTTTCCTTATATGGCTTGCTTTCTCTCATTTGTCATCTTCATTACCCCTCTCCCCCCATCTCATTTTCATTCCTTTCCTTTGAACCTTCTCGGATTTGTCATACATTTCTTAAAATATGGTGTACAGATTAGACCCTGTATCGTAACTGAGGAATAATCAGTGCGAAACAGAGTTGTACTATGACCTCGTATGTCTTGGATCCAATGAGTTTGTCACTGTAACTCAAGATAGCGTTTACTTTTATTCACACACACACACACACACACACACACACACACACACACACACACACACACACACACACACACACCCTTCGATCGTCATAACCCTTAGGACATTCTCGGCATTTTTGGGTGTCTTTCCCCCCCCCATGTGAAGCATCTCATGTTTGCCCTTGCTGAATTCAATTGCATTGTTCATTGCTCAGTTCTCTAATTCACTGAGATCATTTTGGATTTTAATTAAGCTCTCTGAAGCATGGCTTGGCAAAGCTTCAGAAGCAGCGGGCGGAATTATCCAATTATTGGTCTGAGGCAAACTGGCCCTTCTGACCCAGCCGCTGCTGCGCCACTTGATTCATTCTGCCACCTGGCAGTGACTGGCAAAGCCCCCCCGACTGAAGTACCAGTTTCACAAGCGAGATAGGCTGGATCCAGCCCACAGAGCCATTCTACCAGTCAGAGGTTGCCACCCATGCTCTAAAGTGTTTGCTGTCCCATCCAGTTCTGTGTTGTTTGCAGATTTGAGGTATATACTCTTAAGACTCCCTTACTTTGAGGTATATACTCTTATACTCCGTTACTTCATGCAAGTCATTAATAAAAATTATGAACCAGACTAGACCCAAAACTGATCCTGCAGGACTTTCTCAGTACTCTTCCCAGTTTGCTCTTGATACATTAATTACTGATGGTTGCCTACAGTTTTTCAACCACATGGTTGTTCCAGGTGTCTTACCAATATGTTATGTAGTACTGTGGTGAAAACCTTACTGGAGTCAGTGTATTGTCTGACCATGTTCACTGTACTCCAGTCAGAGAGGGAAACCAGTTTGGTTTGGCATGAGTTGTTTTCAACAAATCCATTTCAGCTGCCAGTAGTCATCTTTTACCCTTCTAGGTGATTGCAAACTAATTATTTCAGAATTTGTTCAAATAACAGACATATTGTAGTTAGGCTTATAAATTAATAATTCCATAGATTTTCCTTTGTAAAGATGAATAATACATTTATTCTCCTCCAGCCTTCTGGGACCTCACCAGTTTTCCATCATTTCCCAAATAATCTGGAGGGGACCTGCTGAGCTGAATCTAGTCCATTGCATTTGGAGGCAACCATTTGTCCAAAAGCGTCCATGAAAATGTCTGTACCAGCCCTCTCTTGTGTGATTGCTAGTGGCTCAAAGATTTCATCTGCTGGTTCTTTCTATATCCTGTGGTATACTGCATGAAGCCATGCAGGACTGATTCATTCAACCGGTGATTTTCAACCTGTGTTCTGCAGACCTGAGGGTCTGCAGACTGTCTCTAAGGCAGGGATGGGCAATTATTTTGGGCAGAGGGCCGCTTACTGAGTTTTGGCAAGCCATCGAGGTCCGCATGACAGGCAGCTCAGGGCAGATAAATATTAATTTTCTAAATTTTTAGGGGCCCCGCAGGCCAGATAGAATGGCCTGGCGGGCCACATCTGGCTCCTGGGCCACATTTTGCCCCCTCCTGGTCTAAGGGGTCCATGAAAGATGGCTATGATCAATCATAAGTATGTGATACCCACACTTACAAGTCAAATGGGGTTGCACCTCCATTTGACATTTTTTTAGGCATTAGCAAATGAAAGATGATTGAAAACCACTACATTCAACAAATCAAATGTTCTTTGGCTTCTTCATTAGTCTAAGCTCCCCCATCTTTTGTACATTGACTTTGCTAACAAAAAACAAAGCAGGCATTGAGCAGCTCAGCCTTTCTTGCATCTTCAATTATAGCTCTCTTTCCCCACTAAGCAGCATACTTAGTTTCCTTTGCCTTTCTTTTACTTTTGACATACGTCCTTATCAAGCCCCTTGTCACTTTTGATCTCCTTTTGTCCTGATTTTGTACTTCACAGTGCTGTGGTAGTTTTTCATACATCTTCAGTGACTGTTCTACATTCCACTTCTTTTATGGGTATCTATTGTGCATCTTTTGATTTTTCAGTAATTAAATTTCTTGTATAGTTAGATTAGTTTCTTGCAATTTGTCTGATTTCTCCTATGCTTTAGTGCTGACTACAATTACTATTAAATTTTTTAGGAATAGGTAATAATTCTACTTTCTTTTATCTCTATATAAACATTTTGCAGAGGTTACATTACACATATTAGTATTAATTTCGGGGCATATACTTAAAACAAATTTCTCTTAAGGGACTACGCTATTAAAAATGAATTCTGCACTGTGGGATGCATTGGCAGCAGTCTCTGGAAATTGGGATGAATCTTATAGTAAACAGGGAAGCATAGATGGCTGAGGATGAGGAGGCCTATCTGAGATCTGCATGTTTGACTGCAGATTATCAAATGGCTGTGGAAGGAAGGAGTAGATCCTGGTGGTGTTGGGTTACAGCTTCTTGTCTATTTATTCTTTGGGAAAGGTGTCTACCCAGGTAGAGAAAATCTTCAACATTCTCCAAGGATAGTCATCTAATTGTAATATGTGGAGGAGCACCTGGTCATTTTAGGGTAGGTGGTAAAGGGTCTTGATTTTCTTGAAGTTAACAGTGAGTCCAAGCATTTTATGCGCTTTACAGAAGCAATCAAGAGTGACCTGGAACTCTTTAATTGAGTGGGCACGCTCAACACAAGCATCAACATATTGAATATTAGTAATGGAGGTCTTGGTTGCCTTGGATTTACAGTATAACTGATTTAATGTTAAAGAAGCTTCTTCCCATGCAGTACTGGATGCTGACTCCACATGGAAGTCTGTCAGCAGTGAGATGCAAAATATCAGTGATACAGATGGAAAAGAGTGTTGGTGCAATTACACATCTTTGGTTGACTTCAGTTCTAATAGCGAAGGGATCTGTTTCCAAGCTACTGCTTAGGACAGTTGCTGCCATGTCATTGTGAAGAAGTCTGATAATAGTAACACATTTTGGTTGGCATACAAATTTCGTGGGAGTAGTATATGTAGAAACATCAAAGAGAGATCCTTAGATTTTTTGGGGGGTTACTTTTACATTAGTTTTAGGATTTTGAGAGAAACTGCTCAGCTATCAACTGTTTTTCTTTGATCTTCTCTGATCTCAGTATGTATACAGACCCTATTCATCTTAGTCTGGTTGGACTCATGTTAATCTTAGTCTGGTTGGACTCATGTAATTGTAGCTCTGGGCTTGTGGTTTGGGATCATAATGGGAATTCCATTGGGATCTTTTAATCTGAGACTGCAGGCAACTTAAGATGCCAGGTGCCCACTTTTTAAAAATATTCTACAGAATTGTGAACCTGCTAGACTTCCATAGAGCCAGTGATATAGACACTTGTGTGTGTGCATCCTGTTCCCAAGGACTTTGAAATTGCAAAATATTATTTCAGGTGGAGTACTAGGGGCAGGAAGATTAACTGTTGAAGACAGTGGTTGATAAACTTGTGAAAGGTATTGCATGAGGAGGTGCATTCTTCAGTAGGAGACTGGACTTCGTCTTAGTAGGTCCCTTCCAGTCCTTTGTTCCTAAATTCCAGCATTTCCAAACAAAATATCCAGATGTTCCTAAAAAAAATTCTTGCTGAATTTTCTCTTACATTGGCTTTTTCTACTATTTATAATTTTGCTCTTACGTTTACACTTACACTTGTTCTCTAGCTCCTTCAGATTTAGCGTCCAGGGCATAATTTAATTTAATTTAGTTGTAAATTATGCTTGCTATTATTTCTTAAAATCACCCTAACTGTTATGTGCTCCAGGCATCAGTCACCATTTAGCTTCTTTGTTTTCTTTTTTATTATTATTTTGAAGTAATATTCTATCAAGCAAAGCCACCTTTACGTAATTTTTTAGATGTCTGGATGTCCTTTTGTGGTTGGTTGAATCCTTGTTGAAAAATTGGAGGGGAAAGTTGGACTCTCCTGAACAATAGCTCCTTTGCTAAGCACATTGCATGACCTTGTCATTTTATATTTTAATATTTCTTGTTTAAAAATAGCTTGTGTACATGATCTTAATTAGATAATTCTTTTCTGTAAATGTACTGAAAAGTTCACATTTTTTCTAAATTTATTTGCAGGTGCAAAGAGAAGAAATATGATTATTATAAATTGCCCAAAACTTCTGTTATAATAGCTTTCTACAATGAAGCTTGGTCAACACTTCTGCGAACAGTTCACAGTGTTCTTGAGACATCCCCAGATATTCTGCTGGAAGAAGTTATTCTTGTGGATGATTACAGTGACAAAGGTAGGCTTCTTATTCTATAAGTAAGTTTCCCTTCGAGCATGTTTACAAGAATGGAAAGGATACTGATTTAGTAACAGCACACTAAAATTCTAAAAGTATTGCATCTTTCCATAATGTAACTGGAAGTCAATTTTTTATTGTAACTGGAAGTCAGTTTTAAGTCTGGCGCGCTGGTTTTAACTATCAAGTTTAGAGGCCTGTTTGGTTTGTTGGGAGGAATGATAAACTAATGGTTCTGCCATTAACTTTGAGCTTTGGAGATCTGAATTCCAGTGCTGCCTCCAAGACAGATTTCAACCACTGCATGGCCTTTGGCCAAACCACTGCTCTGAGTCTTGTTTTTAATGTTTAAAATGGAAAGAACAGTACTTCTGAACAGTCCAGTGAGGTAGAGAGGGAAAAACCTGCTGAGGACTGGGAAGATACTGGATACGAGAGCAGGTGTTCTCAGTGCTCTTAGACTCAGGGCACTCCTCAGATGATGCCAGCTCTTGGCTTCCACTTGTTGTTTTTTGTTTGTTTGTTTGTTTTTACTACAGAAAAAATAATAGAGCAATTGTTCTGTTGTAAAGAACTTGGAAAGATCACAGCAGGTCAGAATGTATTTAACACTATGGATTCCTGTTTGAAATATCTGGGTTTATCTTGTGAACCATCTTTACACGTAACAGAGCTAACGTCGTGTATCACCCTGTGGCACCCTTGAAAGTATATCAAGACACCCCAAGGTGCCACAGTACTTTGGTTGAGAATCAGTGTGCTAGAGTAGTAGGAACTACACTAGATAGTAGGTAGGCAAATGGGTAGTCAAAAGGTATTAGATGTAATGTTGCCTTGTATTCATGAGCCCAACACACGGATATGAATAGTTATAACTGCTGCATGTAGATATTATACTAATGAAACAGTATTGGCATACTGTTAAAATGAATGTGCAGTAGTCAAATAAGTCTAATTGGCCTTAGATATTTTTTAATTGTTACTTATAAATTACTTTCAAGATTTTGAGAGATCCTACTAAGATTATGTAAAAGTTCATAAAAAATACTAAAATTACTGGTATTGACTTGAATGTATGTAAAACTTCAAAACATTTTCTACTTTTCTATGGAATATGTTATTAAAATTAAGGGTTACGTCGCTACGGTACTAGAAAAGATGGTGGGTGGTATTACTATTATCTGAAATTCACTTGAAGAGTGGTATGTAAAAAAAAAAAAAAAAAAAAAAAAAAAAAAGTAGAAACTCCATTATCATGATAGCATTGTACTGCTTTCACATTATTACTTTTCTTTCTCTTTTAACCACTGCTTAACTCCAAACACAGGTAATTCATAAAGCCACAGTGAAGGTTTATGAAATAGTTATAACATTTTATATCCAAACCAGTGAATACATTTAGATTATATTTTTTCATTATTATTATTCTTCCGTGGCTTATTTCTGAATATATTGTTCTACAATATTGTCACATCTAGGTTTGAGTGCTGCTCAGTTAATATTTTGAATTGTCGTACATCAACAAAAGCATTTATCACTGTCTTTTTTTTTTTTAAATTAAAATATGTATTTTGAAACACAATCTATGTTTCCAAATGCATAATCAGGTATTTTCCATACATGATAGTACACATGCTAGAATTTATTTTTGTCTAGAATTCATATACATGAATAAATTAACCACATTAATGCAACATCAGTATTGGGAAAACAGAAATACTTATTTCATTGAATGGTTCTGAGTTCTGTGATCAGTCACCAGGTAGCTCCCTCATGTTGAATGGACATGTACATGGCTCATAGAGTGATTGATCATGCCCAATCTTTGAGCCATGAAGCACGAACAGGATTTCTGGATGCTTTAGGCACTAGAAATGAGTAGGAATACAGAGAATCTGTCCTCTGCTTTTAACTTTCCCCCAGCACCCAAACAACATGAAATAGGAAGGGGAAGCCAACAGGTTCAGATGTGAAGAAGTGCGATGATTGGTGGCACCTAGGCATTGTAGCTATTGAGGTATATTGCATAGGAACATTGAAATAAAAGCATGTGTGTGATTTCAATCAATTATTCTTATATGGCAGTAGATCACATTTTCAGCTTGTTCAATAACAACTTAAAGGAGGAACTCCGGATACTTAGGCATGTGTACATGACCTGTTAGAAAGGACTTCCAGCCTCTTGATTAAGGCCATCCCAGTGCACTTCCACATGCAAGTGTTCCACATTATGCCAGGTGCACTTTGTTTTCCCATTCAAAAAGCTGCTTTTGGAAGCAAACCCTTCATGGGCAAAAATCCCACAAACACTGAAAAGTTAAGACCTTAACCCTGAAAATGCTTCTGTTGGTATATAGTTTCCTCAACTGAATAGTTTCCTTTGATTTCCGTAAGACTACTTTATACTTAGATTGGGCTTGTTCATAATTGTTTGAAGCATCTGGGGCAAAAGTTATAGGGTTTTTTAAATGTAGGTTTTAGTAATATAAAATCTTAGTTAATATTTCATCAGTTCTGTTTTTAAGGTAAGAATGAAAAGCTACTTAGGCTTTCAATAATTTAACAAAGGTATTGTGAAATTATTATTTTTTGTACATAAGACAAAATGTTCAGAAACAGGTTTAATCTTTTAAGGTCATGATTTTAAAAAGGACAAGCATCATTTAGGAGCACAAGTTTTTAGTGACTTCAGTATGTGTACCCTAAATGGAGGCCTGCCATCTGGGTCAGGCATTTCTGCTTGTGCATGCTGCATTTTGTCAGTGGAGCAGTGGTTGCAAAGATGGCACAGGCTATTTATCCAGCAGTTTGATATTCATATGATGTTATATTTTTACTGTATAGATCTAAAGGGGGTTCAGAACTGGTGTTTAGCAGCATAGAGGAAATGTATAAAATGTTTATATTGAAAAAAATCTCTAAAATCTGAAGAGCTTCTCACTGTTAGCAAACCAATTAGAGAAATTAATAAATCTTGAATTTGTCCATCTGAGTTTTATACTACCTGTTTCCCTGACCTGTCAAAGCATGGGGGCCATGCCAGATCTTAGAGGTAGTTGGGGTCAGAGCACACAGCACTAGCAGTAATACACTGATGAAAAGGTAGCTTTTTCTAACATGCTGCATACAATGCTGTAGCGATCTGTTCATCCTTTTTGTTACAGAACATCTAAAAGAGACACTGGAAAACTATGTGGCTGCTTTACGCAAGGTACGTCTTATCCGCGCAAACAAGAGAGAAGGATTGGTTCGAGCACGGCTGCTGGGAGCTTCTCTAGCAAAAGGCGATGTTTTGACATTTCTTGATTGCCACTGTGAATGCCATGAGGGATGGCTTGAGCCCCTGTTGGAAAGGTACATGTATACTGTATAATCCCCTAATAATTTGAGGGGAAAAATGTTCATTTGGTAAATTCCTGCATTTATAATGCATTTCAATGGGATGTTTGCTCAAATTCTTTAGACAAATTTCATAGAATCATAAAATCATAGAACCGGAAAGGGACCTGTAAGATCATCAAGTCGGTCCCCTGCCGTGGGCCGGAAGTTACTGGGCTCAGACAAGCTTGACAAGGTGCCCGTCCAGCCTCATCTTGAACAGCTCCAAGGAGGGTGATGGTACCACCTCTGCTGGGAGTGTTCCAGATTCTGGTGTTCCTTACAGAGAAAAAGTTTTTTCTTATGTCTAGCCTGAATTTACCTGCTATTAGTTTATGCCCATTGGTCCTTGTCCTCCCTTGAGGTACCTTCCTGAAGAGTTGCTCCCCTAGTTCTTGATGCTCACCCCTGGCGTATGTGTAGGCAGCTATCAAGTCACGTCTCAGCCTTCTCTTACTCAGACTCAACAGGCTCACTTCCCTGAGTCTCTCCTCATAGGGCCTACCCTCCATGCCCTTGACCATACGGGTGGCTCTTCTTTGTACCCTCTTGAGCCTATCCACATCTTTCTTGAAGTGCGGTACCCAGAAATGGACACAGTACTCCAGTTGAGGCCTCACCAATGTCAAGTACAGAGGGAGGAGCACCTCCCCGGATCTGTTGGCTATACATTGGCTGGTGCAGGAGCACCTCCCCGGATCTGTTGGCTATACATTGGCTGATGCAGGCCACAGTTCTATTTGCCCTTCTGGCAACCTCATCGCACTGTTGGCTCATATTTATCTTCCAGTGGATCATGACCCCCAGATCTTGTTCAGATGCTGTGCCAGCCAGCAACCTCTTGTAAATTATTCTTCTCTTTTTTTTTCTTTTTTTTTTCTTTTTTTAACTGTCCTTTGGAGGCGTGGACACATGTAACAATTAAAACAAATGTTTCAAATGGCTCTGAAATATTTCAAAAGGCCAGCATACAGGCCCTTTAAAATGTTCCTGAAGTGGTTTAAACACGTCAAAATAGTTACTCTTTACATGAAGTACTATTTTGGAGCATTTTCCTTTTGGCTATGTCTGAATAGAGATGGGAGGGAAGTCAAGACAAGCAACCTGCCAGCTGCCAGGTGCTGCTCTGGGTCCTGAGGCACAGCTGGGCCTCCACTGAGACTCTTACCTTTCTTCTCCCACTCTTAGCCCAAGAAGTTGAGGGGACTGGAGTTGGAGGGCTTAGCTTCAGGAAGAGCTCCTGGGAGGCCAGAAGTGTTGGACAGGGGGCTGTAATCCCAACTCTGGTGGGAGCAGGGATTCTAGGGCGAGAGGAGTGTAGAGCAGAGCAGCAAATTGCTTCAGCCTCCCCTACTGCACTAGAAGAACTGCAGTGTTTTGAAATGTTCTACCTTGGAACAGCAGAAGGACTGCATGTCATTCCTTTGGTGGAAAGTTTCAGTTGTTACATCTGTCCACAAGACCCCTTTCCTGATTGTTCTTAACTTCCTACACATTTTTTCTCCTAGCATAGTTGTACAAGGGAAATTCTAGACATAGTAGATTAATTGACCAGATTAGATGGAAAACATCGGAGAAAAGAAATACTGAAAGCAGGAACTTGTGTGCTTTTCTTTTAATCAGAATACTGAAAAAAAAGCTTTAAGTATGGGCAGACAGTTTAGGCCAGTGGTTTTCATTCTTCTTAGACTCAAGGCACCCCTTGGAAAATGACAGCTCTTAGTTTTCACTCTTTATCTACTGTAGAAAAATAATAGAACAGCTTTTCTGTTTCAAAGCACTCAGAAAGAACACAATTATGGATTTCTGTTTGAAATCTTTGGATTTATCTTGTGAATCACGTTTGTAACTCTAACAGTGCTAACATTGTGGGGTGCCCTGTGTCACCCTTGAAAGGATCTCAAGGCACCCTGGTTGAGAATCACTGGTCTAGACAGTAATTGCTATATAGTTTAGGTAAGCCACTAGATGGCAGTCTTAGGAAAGACTTTGGACATGTTTCCCCTTTGCTGAAATTGTATGGAAGGCAATTAGCTACAGAGTTAGCCTTGTGCACGTAAACTTAATAAGGCTTTTTCATAATGTGTACCTTTTTTATTTGAGGTTGGGACAAATTAGGAACATAGTTGACTCTCTCACTTGTATACTGGATATGTTTTGCATGGAGTGGTTCAATCCTGACTCAAAAAAACCCACTAGCCAAGTTTTACTGTTTGCATATCTTATTTCTTTTGTCACTATGCTCACGTGTCTTTTTAAAATACACTACAAAACATTCCTG